GTTACAATGATTGGAACGTAGGCTTTGATTATGACCCTGTGATTGCCTTCTAGCTGCTTCCCCCATCCCCTGAACAATGCTGCATAAAAGAGGGCTCAGTAAGTAACTGTTGGGTCAGCAACTGAGCTGACGTCCTGCCAGGGGGGTGCTTCCTTATGAAAAATAAAGTTCTGAACTCTCCCGCGTTTGCTCAGCAAGGGTAATGGGCATGGAGAGAGAGATGACCCCAGATTTCACAGCCCACTGGGGTGTCCTCACCTGGATTCCCACTGCAAGGGTCATGTTGCTCCCCACTGGTGTTCTAGCCCCAGAGTGGGCTCAAACCCTCCCCCGACTGACTCCCTCAAAGTTACCCAGGCAGGTTAAGGGGAAGCACATACAGAAGATTCTGAGCCACTGGACAGGACCCCAGGCTCTGACCATGCTGCTGAGAGGAAGCAACAGACTCCCCCACCACAAGAGGCTGACTCACTCCTGCAGGCGCCTTGCTGAGGCCCCTACTCCTTAGTTCCCAGCTGGCTGCCCTGTGACAACACCATCCGGTCACCCACCACTCAAAAGTTCAGTCACCACCAGCCCAGTGAGAACTGCAGGGCTCCCCTCAGGTCCAACTCCCAGTCAGTCATGCTCCCCAGAAACAACGGCTTCTCCTGGGGGCCCTGGCCCTGCCTGCACACGGGATGAGCCCTACTGCCCCCTGACTCCACTCACACTGCAGCTGCCACAGTGTCCTCAAGACCCGCAACAGAAGTGCAGCGGGCCAGGCGTGGAGGGGCGTCTGTCCAGCTGTGTATCTCTCTGAAGACAGAGGTTTCAAAACACTTAAATTCCAGATGTCCTCCTCCAAAAAGCTCATGACCTTGTGAGCCAGAGCTACTCCAGCTGAAGCAAGCACGGGTACAAGTACAAGCCCTAACACCTGGCAGCCAAACCACGGGGACCCCTTAGCACAGCCCCAGGCTCCTGCCCCAGAGAGGTCTGAGAACTCTGAGCTAGGATTCTTGCCCATTTTAAACCCCCTAGTGAGACAACCTCACCATCCCAGCTGTCCCAGAACTTTACCACCAAGACTGTCCCAAACCAACCAGCTCACTATATCCACCTGGACCCTACTTCCCCCAGCTTCTCTACCATTTTGTGGAGGAAGAGCCAATGTCTGACCCCACCTGCCCGCCCTTCCCAGCTAACCAGCTTCCACATGGGCAATGCCCTGTGTCTCCCTAAACTCAGGAGAAGATATCCAACCACCACAAGGACCCTCCCCTGAGAACTCCTGGAAAGCAGAGACCCTGGGGCAGGGGATTTATGAAGATTAGGGATCCTGTTGAGAGGAAGTCGGGTATGGGGTCTTGGCTGGCAGTCTAACACTCTCAATGACCTCCCCGCCAACTGCTATAGAGAGCTATGGGGCAGGAAGTGAGCTCGGGGGCCTCTCACGCACAAGGGATCCCCAGACCTCTCACTCTCCTGGTCTGCTCCAGGTGCCCCAAGTCTCCCCTGGACACTCATTAAGACTGGTTCTATCCTGCAGTGAATTCTGGGACCTTTGCCTATTGCTCTGGGCTGACACCTGCCTGGGTCCCGTTTCCTACAATTTCAAGGACGCTCAGTTTCCTCCTGCAGCTGCCAGCAGACCCCACTTCCTGGGGCTCAGGGGGTGATCTCCTCCTGCCCAAGGACGCCACCTCTTTGGACTCTGGTGGAGCAGCCTGACAAAGCTGGGGCATCTCCCCCATAAAATGATAGTCACATGGTACCCAGGCATCCCCTCACACAGACACTGTCCCAGATGGCTCTGCCTGGAGCCCCCCAGTGGTTTATGTGAAGAAAGGCAGAGATTTAGCCCTTCCAGCTTAGCTGGCCAGGCTGCCAGAGAGTCAGAGGCTGCAACACAGATTACAAAGCTGGGATCTATACATCATTCTAGAATCCCCACAGAAACCTGACAAATGTTTCTCTTTGGGTTCCTTACAGTGACTCCCAGGACCTTTCTGTCTCATGAGGTCAATCCTGCTCCAGTCTCAGGCATGTCTGCAACTGCCAGGACAGCAGCTGCTCTCCACCTCCCCCACCCAAAGCTCTGAGACCATCCACCCCTGCCCCCTGCTGCAGCCTGCCAAGCCCTCTCCCATCCTTCTGGTAGTGGGGCTACTGGCCTCCCCTACCCCTCACGCCTCCTGAGACAGAAAGCAGATGGCTGCCGTCATTCCATTTGAAACACCTCCACAGCAGACCCAGCCTCAGATCCAGAGAGAAGACAGAGAAGTGGAGGAAAAAGAAGGGTACGCACACGCGCGCATGCGTGCACACTTAAAGGCAGCCAGCTGTCAGAGCTGGGAGAGTCAGAAGAGCCCACGGTCTCATTAGCAGCGTCTTTCCTCTGGTCCCAGGGCAGCGGGGAAGAGGGCAGGTGTGGGAGAGAGCTTTATGTTCTCTTCTCTCTGTTTCCCAGGCTGAGAGAGGCACAGGGCCACCCCCCGTCCACTGCAGGCTCAGCCCCTTTGTTTCACATGGTAAGCTCCCCAGAACACAAGATCAGGCTAAACACAGGGGCAGAGATGACCTCTGCCTCCAGAAACCATCAGAGCACCTTGGGCCATGCCTCTGCTGTGGGCAGCCTGGCATCTCTCTCACTCTCCCAGCTGGTGGCCACGCCCACAGCAGTGTGCCTGACGGACATCTCTGGAGAAGCCCCTTGCTCTCTTGTACCCTGGCTTCCTCATCAAAGGCAGGAAAGAGAATGGTAGCCCCCTGCTCCAGTCCCCACCCCAGGAGAATCAAGCCCAGAGCACAGCTGACAGGCTCCCACGGGAGGAGGAGGAGGAAGGAGGAAGGGCTTTCATCAAAGAGGTGACGTCAAAACCAGGCAACTTGTGAAGCTGTCAGGGGCCGGGAAATTTGGACAAAGGTGTCTAAAAATAAACCCCTGAAGCCAGGAAAAGTCTTTGGTGGCTGAGTTGCTCGCCACCACACCACATGCCACATGTCCTGTTCTGAGGTCTGGAACCCAGCAAGTCTCTTCCCAGGGGGGCTCCTCCAACCCTGAGGTTGAAGACAGCAGCGACAGGACTGAAGACACTGCCCAGTAGCCTTTCTTGGGTGAAACGGTTGAGGCCCCCTTAGGACGCACGGTGAATGGGCCTCAAGCACCAATGTCTGCCTTCCTGCCCTTACCACCAGCCAGCGACCCCACCTCCTGCATCACCCCGCCCTCAGCCTCCAGCCCAACTCACCCCCAGGCAAGCACCTCCTCCCCAGCACCCTTCTGGCTGCCACCGTCCAGCTCACAAAGGAACTCCACCTCTATTCTCCCTGTGTCTCTGCCCTACCACAGCGACAGCTGTCCTGTTTCTTCTCTTCCTGTCCTTGACCACCAAGGCCACAGCTGGTGACCCATTTATTCATTCCCTAGCCCTGACACCAGATTTTTCGCCTCCTTAACCAAGATCTGTCTGAGCTCCCATTCCATCACCAAGGACCCTCCCCCAGGCTGCTCTGGAGAGCCCTCAGGTTCCTTTGAATCCACCAAATTGAAATTCCTCCTTTCTTCTCCTGTTTGTTTCTCAGGCAGCTCCGCACTACACAGTCTCCAGAGCTGGTTGCCCTCCCAGCCCCTCCACAGTCCGATCCATTCCAATCCATGCATCAGTCCACCAGTTCTACCTTCAAAATAGATGGTAAATTTCCACTTCTTCGGCATCTCTACAGCCACTGCCCCAGTTCAAGCCACCACCATTCATGTGGAAATCCTGACAGCCCCATAAGCACCTCCACTGGCCCCATGGATCTGGGATCCAGGCCCACCCTGGGCAGGATGAGAGCACCTGTCTTGTACATGTGTGGCTAAGAGGCTCAGATCACGTGTCACTTTCCAGGCTGGAACACTGCAGTGACTTCCCACCATCTTGCTCCCACTCTGCTCTGCCTGGAGTCTTCTTACCCCCTTCTCCAAGGGCTCTTTCAGGGTTCCACCTGAGAGATTACGTCCTCTGAGAGGCTGTCCCTGACCACTGTATCCAAGTTGGTCCCTTGCCCTTCCTTACCATTCTTTTCTAGCATGTATCTCATTTTGTCTGACATTTTAAAAAAAAGATTTTTTTATATATTTTTTTATTTTATTTTAATTTTTTTATTTTTATATATTTTTAAAAGATTTTATTTTTAAGTTATCCCTACACCCAGTGTGGGGCTCGGCCTCACATCAGATCAACAGTTGCATGTTCCACCGACTGAGCCAGCCAGGTGCCTCTTGTCTGACACTTATTACCTATCTCTAACCACTTGCTGTAAATGTGTATTTCATACACCAACATTTCACACTGTGTCCAGCACAGTACATGGCACATAGACATTCAATAAACTCAAGTTGAATGGATGAATAAACAATGCTTTCAAGCCCAACTGGGTCATTCCCAAGTACCCAAGTTTACAAAATGTTCTGGAGGAGGAGGGATGTGCAACAGGGAAAATTTTTTTAAAATCTCTGTGGACACAGAGACCCCTGACCAGATCAGAAACCAAAGGAGATAGGGGCTGCTGCTGCCCCAGCCCTGTGCTCAGGGAGCAGGTGCACAAGCCCATCCAGCGGCCAGGCCCAGGACCACACATGAAGACCTGGGGCCTGCCACCCACAGGAAGCCTCAGGGCTCTGGCTCTGTGGGCCTCAAGCAGGAAAGGGTCAGGGTGGACCTGTCCATCCATTTGAGCCTGGAGCAGGGGCTGAGACCTAATGTCTCTGGTCCAATCCAGAGCCACACTGACCAGGCTACGTTTGTGAACAAGCTCCCTATGCTCCTAGTAGATGCTCTGGCACCCACAAGTCTCTGGCATTTGGGAAAGATGCCAGCAGCATCTGCTCATCTTCCTAGCTCCACATGGGGGCCCCGGGGTGCTGCCTTCCCGAAGGCAACTTTTCCTCCCAGACTGGGCAGTCCTCCCCATCTCCCAGCTGAAGGACTGGCTATCCCCCAACACACACATACACTGGGCCTGTCTCTCACCTTTATGTAGGCATCCAGGGCAGGATGGACACGGCGGGTAGCCAGCCAGATGGACAGGCTGGAGGTGTAGGGGAAGGTGGCTGTCACCACATGGCTGGGTGCTGGGAAGGAAAACACATTGAAGCCAAACTTCTGGTAGAGCTGGATTAGCTCAGGGGAGGGAGACTCCTCACCCTCACTCAGAATGCTGCCCACTGCACAGCGGCACTTCTCAGGGGGTACCTGGAGAGGAAGAACAAGGGTGTCAGCATTGGGCAAAGGAAGGAGGCTCTCAGAACTCTTGCTACCTGGGTTTTGTGCCAGCTCAGGCCTGGCAGAACCATGAGCTCCAACATGCCACAGCCCCAGATACCATGATGGAGAACAGTATTTTCCTTCTGGAACTTATCCGTGGCCCCAGCCTCTGGCATCCTGCTGCAGGGTTCATCCATCCCTTCATTTATGCCTCTACCAAATATGCCAGGCCCTGTGCTATGGAGGGTCACTGGTCCAGAAGCGGGACCACACTGAACTCTGGGTTGCTGACAAAACTGAGATCCTCTTCCCCAGTCCCTCAGGTTGGGCCAGCCACCATCACCAGAGCCCCCAGACCTCCTCTCCAACCCATGCCCCATCCCAAGCCCTGCCACACTTGCCAAGTCCCTTCCTGGCTCAGCCAGAGACTGTTGGTTCCCCTTCAAGTTTCCCTGGGCTCCCAGTACCTGTATGTCACTGCACTGTGCTCCCCTCCCTAGCTGCCCTCCCTCTCCTGGGTCCCATAAACCCAAAGTGGGTGGGGCTCCATGTGAGTCTCTAACACTTCCTAGGCCTGGCCCCAGGCCTGCAAAGCCCAGCACTCACCTCTCCTCTGGCATCAAGGGGCCCCACTTTGTCTCATCTCCTGCCACCTGAGTCTACACCAGGCCCTGATACCCCCAGGGGTATCTAATCCTGAATCGAAGACACTCATCAGAGACCATGTGCTGTCAATCCTGGATTTCCCTCAACTTGAAGGTCCCTTTCTCCTACTATCTGGGGCCCACTGATGCTTAAATTCAAACTCCCTCTACCTCCAGTTGCTTCTCTTGGCCTACCTTCCCAGCACCATGAAGTCATTTTTATGTGTTCTTGCTTCTGCCCTCTCGCCAAGCCCTGTCAACAATACCCTAGGGGTTTCTCAGCCCAGCCCAGCTCTGTCCTTGGAGTCTCACTTTGCCTGGGACTCAAGCACCAACTCCAGGTTCTCACCTCCATGCGGTCCCTGGGGGTCACTGCTAGGTCTCAGCAGCTAGGGCCCCCTTGCCGCCCCCTTGCATCCTATGTCATTAAGTCTAGCCCAGGACTTTACTGGCAGGCAATATGGTGCAGTGGTCAGGACCACAACTTCTGGAGATACACAGGACTGGGAGTGAATAGTGAATCATGTAACTCTGGGTAAGTCCCCTGGTTTCTTAGAGCTCAAGTTCCTTGCAGAATTGACAAACTGAATGAGATACTTCATCTGAGGGCCCGGCCTGGTGCGGCGCTCGGCAAGTACTGGAAGTGCTGTCAGTCATTAGCAGCTACGACACAGGCCAAATAAGTGACCCCTGGCCTGCAGCCATGCCCTGGCCCATTCACCCAAACCTCCCAACACAGAGCTCCTCCCTGCCCATTCTCCAGGTTCAAGCGCTCTCCTGGGGAGTCTTTCAGGGTAGCTGGGTGCCCCCCACCTCCAAACACACGTTTCGCTGTTAACTCTTGCCTCCATCAACTCCACCTGGTAGCAGTCCCATCCCTGGCCTGACACTCCTCCCACCCTACCCTGGCAGAGGCGCTGGAGCCAAATGCAGTACCATCTCTTGTCTATAGATGGTGCAACCGCTCCATTCACACCCAAGGCTTGAGGCAGGAGGCGCCTGGCAAGTGTCTGCTGCAATGCCAATCACTGCGATCCTGACCCCAGCGACTTATCATGTACAAAAGAAACATTCAATATAACTTAGATGGAGAAATGGATGGAAAGCCACCTGACTGATCATCTCTGGCCCTCCTGGGATTGAGTCCCTGGGTCTTTTCGGGGATCACTTCAGCAGCCTTTATGGACCTCCCAGGCTCAACATCCTCCTTGATCCCCAAGAAGCACAACACCTGTGACCACCCTGCTTATAACTTTTCAATGGCTCCCAATTCTGCTCTAGGATGAAACTTTCAAGCCCAGCATTCAACATTGTTTTAAGTGGTCCATACAATAGTGCCTGGATTTGTCCACACACTTGCCTAGCACTCTTTTTGGCATCCCCAGGCCCCAGTAGGGGCCAGAACCCAGGTGGGCAAGTGTCCACTGAGCATCTGAGTGGCAGAGGGAGGGACAAATCCAGGCTCTGGCCCAGCCCGCCTTGCCGGTCTCCTCTCCTACCACAAACCCGCACACACCCACACGGAACTATTTGCAGCTCCCCAAACATGCCACGTCCTCCCATGCTTCCTGCCCTTGCGCAAGCTACTTCCTCTGCCTGGAATGATCTTCTTCACCCTAATCCAGAGTCCCTTCTGCCTGGGAAACTCCTGCCCATCCTTCAAGATTCAGCTCAACCCTCCTCCTCAAATCCTCCCTGCCAAGCAGCCCTTCCTCTCAGATCCCAAATGCCCACCCAAAGAAGCAGGTCTTGTGCTGCACAGTAACTGATGGTTCCTCTGTCTCTCCCCACCACTTCAGGCTTCTAGGCAGAAAGGTCCAGAATCCTGTGCACACAGTAAGTTTCTTGGGGTATCTCAGCAACACCACACGCACGCCTGCACACGTACACACGGGCCCTGCACGTGAGCTAAGCTCTTCCTCCTCTACCTTGAAAAAGGAACTCCCATTACAGGGGAAGGAAGCTAATAAGGGACAGGACTCCTGAGATCCTGGAGGTGTGTCAGCCTCAGGTGCTCCTTTTCTGCATGAGCAGCCCCTCAATTCCACAAGTGGGATACCTCTGCCCCATTCTGCCCTGGCCAGTGGCTAAGGGGCAGCCTAGGAAGTTATCAGGAAGCCCACCACCTGCAAGCAGCCCTGTACCAGCTGGAGCTGCTGGAGTTCCACACCTGAACAAGGCACTGGCAAGGAGATGGAACAGACCCTAAGACCAGCTGGGGAGGGGCAAGGCTGGTCAGGAGTAGAGGAAGGCTTCCCTGGGCTCCCTGGAGAGCCCAGGCCCACCTCCAGGAGAAATGGCCCACTGAGGTCAGGGGCCAAGAAGATAAAGGGAGTGTCCTGATAGCTAGAAACTCCACCCAGCTTGGTTGATTGCAATGCCTCTATTGGGCCTGATCCTAGGAAGTCAGCCTGGGTCTCCCAGTTCCATCTGCTTGTTCACTCTCCTCCCTAGATCAGTCATTTCTCCAGGTACCTGTGCCCAGAACAAGAGCCGTGAGGCCTTTTCAGTCCTGGCATGTGAGAAGAGGGGAGTCTACTTGGAACCTAAAGCTTCTGGATACAAGCTGGCCCCAATGCTCCTTCCAGAGAGGTCTCATGGTGCCAAGCTGACACTGTTGGTGAGGCCATAGAGAAAAGAGAGTCCCTGCCTGGCTAAGACTTCAGTGCGTCTAGAAACTGGACAAGACTAGTATCTTCCAGGATCCAGGAAGGAAAAATGGTGTCAGTGGGTCCAGACCAAACCCAGATGTTGGGTTCAGTCGAAATGGCCAGCCCTAGGGGCATCTGGGTGGCTCAGTCAGCTAAGCATCTGCCTTCGGCTCCGGTCATGATCCTGGGGTCCTGGGATCGAGCCCCGCTCGACTGGGCTCCCTCCTCTGCTCTCCTTCTCCCTGCCATTCCCCTTGCTTGTGTGTCCCCCCTCGCCCCGTGTCAAATAAATAAATAAAACCTTAAAAAAAGAAATGGCCAGCCCTCGATCCATAACCTGCAACATCTGATGAAGTCCAGCTGCGATGCCTGCATATCCAGGCCCAGCAAGCTGCTTCAACTCCTCCCTGGCCAGCATACCCAGCCCAGAGTTACCCAAGGTAAGGGGACAAGTAGGGACAGTGACCTTCACTGGCCTTCACTGAGGGGGAACAGAGCAGCCACAGCTCTTCATTACTGGAGGGTGGGTTCATTTAACCTTCAGGGTGCTGCAGGTCAATACAACAAGCACCACAGGTCCAAGTTCCCCAAGCAGGTGGTCTCCAAAGGCAAAAGCTGGTCCACACTAGTCAGGACATGGGTGACACAGACAGCAGGGCCAGGGGACAGGACCCGTATTTCAGGCTGCAGGGGAGGGAGTAAGCAGGATGCCAACCTCCAAAGCGGGGCCTGGGGGCCTTCTGGAAACTCTCACTTAGAAGTCTTTCAGGGCTTCTTTCTTTTCACCCCCAGGCATAATCCTAACAACAGCTGGCACCTGACAGTGTGCTCACTGACTACCCCAGTTGCTACCTTCCACATGTCAGTTCATTCAATCCAAACAGTGCTGTGCAATAGCTACCATTATCCACTCTGTTTCTGAGACCCAGACGGCAAAGCTATTCAGAAAGGGCCACACGGCAAGGCAGTGAAGTCTGGATTCGAACACAGGCAGACTGGCTCCAGAGCTGCACCACAGGACACAAAGCCACGTGGGAGCCCGAGAAGCAGGCCCTGGCTAGGCAAAGCCTGCATAATGGTGTGTCCCTATGCTGTGCTCCTCTGATGGCCCAGGCATCCTGCAAGAGGCTAGGCCAGAGGCAGGCAAGCAGGGTTCCCAAAAGTACAAAGTCCTAGTGGCATGAGGCCAGGGGAGGGGGTGCCAAGAGTGCTAAGCATCTACTGGGGGCCAGGTTTTGGGCCTTATCCTTATTATTTAGTCCCCAGAAAAACAAAACCCCTGAGGTAGGAATTCTCAGAAAAACCAAGTGACTCCCTCAGAATCACACTCTAACAAGCAGCAGAGCCTTGATTCAAACCCAGAAAGATTCAAAGCCCTCACCTCCCATACCCCAGCCCTCCTCCCTACCAAAGGCAGCTCTGCTGGGAAGAAAGGGCTGTGCCTTTCCAGGGCTCCCCCACACAGTTAACCTGCTAAAGAGCAAAAGCCCAGACTCCATCTGGATGAAAATCATCATGGGTAATTAGGATAGGGAATGGCCTGGGCCCCTGGAAACACCAGATAGCCCTCATTCCCACTGCCCTTGTTGAGGGGTCAACCCTGGGCAATCCCAATCCCTCATTCCTTCTCAAGCCCCATATGGTCTCAGTGCCTCTAGGGATCACGGGGAGACCCCACCTACACACACACACACACACACACACACACACACACACACAGGAAAGGAAGTGTGGCACAGGCCTAAATCAACACTCTTACCAGCCTAAGCCCATGTAGATGTGGTGGTCCCAGGCTGACTCTCAGTGGACTAGGAGAAAAAAGGAGCTTCAATACAGTCTAGTTTACTAAAGGCAGAACCCAAGAACCACCAGTTCCCCCATCTGCCCCATACCTGGGGCAAGCACCCCTTCCTAGGCCTCAGCCAGGTAAACTGAACTTGCTGCCACACCCTACTTGCCTCAACCAGGCTCCCCACAAGGGCAGCAGACAGCTTGCTTAAGGCCCAAACAGCAGTGGAGGCAGGAGCAGCAGGGGTGGAGAAGAAGGTGGAGGGCCAGGATGGCACACAGGACAGCTCCATGGGTACAGTGAGGGCAGCTGACCCAGAAAGGGCTATCACAGGCCAGAGCTGGCCAGGATCAAGTGACCCACTCGGGTCCTCCCAGCTCTTTCCCTCCCCTCCAACACCCCAGGCTCCCAGAGGGACGGGGGCCGCAGACCCCACACCCCACATCAGTAGCAGGGCTGAGGGCAGAGCAATTTTAACTCTTTTCCAGTTTTACAAGAACAGAACTGGATGTGTGTGTATGTGTGTGTGCGCACGTGCATGCACGCGTGTATTCACATGTACACTGGGGTGCTCACTTCGGCAGCACATATACACATGTACACTGGGAGAGGTTGCGGCGCAGGCAGAGATCGGTGACTGACTCAAACTCACCCTCTTCCCTTGGTATTTAGAGGAAATGGCTGCACTCCAAGAACGCTGGGCCCAAGAGGAGAACACCTATAAGCCACTACCAGGGTCGGTCCACTTCCTGTCACATGTTCCCTCATTCCTCCTCCTCCCTCTCCAAAGGCCCTCAGGGATGGAGAATGGAATCCTTTCTCTTGCCCAACAAGAACCAGTTCCAGAAACTTCTTCCGTAAGGAACTCCAGGATCTAAAGTTGACTGACACATACATGCTGACGCTCCAGGACACAGAGCTGATGAGGTATGTATGTTTGAACAGCACCTGACGTGAAAGAGCCCACAGCGATTGCCAGGGCCTTGCCTTGGTGGTGCCCATCCTTTCCTGTGTCACTCCTGGGTCCACAGTCAGACCATGTGAGGCCAGGCCTTTCTCAGAAACCAGCCTCTCCATGCCCAGATGAGGCCGGGCGCTGAGGCCTGGACAGCAAGTGGCTAGAGAGCTGTCAGTCCACACTTCATGGGAGAGGGCAGCATTAATAGCTGGTCTCTCACCTGGTCACTCCCTGCTCCACTCACAGAGCCTGAAATAGCCTCACTGCTCCCTACACTCACACAGAAGCAGGTTCTGGCGCCCACTGTGCTCACTAGGGAGGGAGAAGGTATGGGGATGGGCCACACAACAGCTCAGCCTGCATCCTGTCTGTGAACCAAAATATGCAGGGCCCCATGCTGGACACTGCTTAGGGAAGCAGCCTAGGGAGAAGGCTTGGGTTCTTACGCTTCCCTAGCACTGGATGGGGTCTCTCAGCCAGACTCCCCTGATACCCCTACACTGAGAGGCCCTGAGGGCTGGGCCCTTTGGTCTTCACAGTGCCCCAGTGCCCAGCAGTGTGGCACAGATTAGGTGCTCAAACATTTGTTAAATAAAAGCAAAAAGTGTGAGTGAATTATGAGAGATCAATACCTCAGCTCTTGCTGTCTGATCCTCAGTGTCCTCTTCTATCACATCAGCAGTGTGGACCCTGGGGCCCCAGGGATAGCCATGAGCACCTGAAGTCTGGGGTCCATGGTTCCCTGAACCCTCTGTGAGGATCCCTGCTAGGCAGAGAATATACTGCCCACCTCCCACAGCACGTGGAGACTAAGCATCCTGAGCTATCCAGGTGTCAGGGTATGACCTAGCTCTGAATGGGGACACAGCTATCTTCTGGAGTGACCCAGGACTGAGAGGAATAGGACCAGAGGGACCACTCTGAGCTGTACACTCATCCTCTGAGCCAGCCAGATGTCCACAACCAGGCCAAGGGTCTAGCCCTGGGTCATAATGCTCAGCCTAACGCCTCAGTGCACCTAATTAACATGAATGTCTTGTCCACCCTTCTTTGTTTTTGTTGTTAAACAGCTACTGGAGGCCAGGTGGTAGGATCAATGTCTCACCTATATCACCTAATTTAATTCTTGCTAGACAACATTTGAAGCAGATATCTTAACAGAGCTCTATAGATGAAGAAATAGAGGCTCAGAGAGATTATGTGATATGCTCAAGATCACACAGCATGACAGTAATGAAACAGAATCAGAACCCAGGACTGCCAACCTTGAGGCTGTATTCTCAGGCTGTGCATCCCCCACGCCCAGACTGACACCCAAGTCAGGCTGCACCCAACCAACCCTGGACACCCAAGCCCACCGCCCCCCCCCACCCTGCTAAAGACGGCTATATGGTGCGCTGCCTGGAAGCGGTGGCTGGGCCAGGAGGCCATGGGGAAAGCACACCATGCCAAGATTCTTCTATCTCACTGTTCCTGGGTCAGCCACCAGTGCTGATCCCAAGGTACACTGCTACCTTGGCCCTTTCCTACCTTGGAATTAGCATTTCCAACCCAAGAGCCAATGTGTTGCTTTAGGAACAGGACACGCTGTTGAAGAATGAGGCAACTGCAAGGACTATTCTCCTTCCCACTGAGGCCTTGCAGAGGGCTCGAACTGGGCCAGGTGTGGAAGGAGGGGCAGGGACTTACAGAATAGAGTTCTGCAGGAGGCAGAGTCTAACATCTGGTCGAGGAGCTTCCCAAAGCCCCGCTCCTGCCCCGTGTCACCTAGGCTCCAGCGCTCTTGACTCCCACTTAGCGCGGTCTCCCAACCATGTGACCTCAAATCCTCACTGTCTACTCATCCTTCAACCAGGTCAATGTCACCTCTCATCTGGACCTAGCCCAATCTCCTCAATGGCCTCCCTGCCTCATCTCCTCCCCTCTTTCACCTGCCATCCAGTTAGATTCCTAAAACAGAGGGGGCAAATGGTGCTGCCCCTTGCCTCCCAGACTGCTCTTCCTCACAATGCCTGGCCCAGCAAACCTTTCTACCACTTTCTTTGCCTACCGCATGTCCGCTGGCCACACTTCCCCTGTTATCCTATGTCTGCAAGTCTTTACTGTCATACTTCCCTAAGTCAGGAGCCCCCTCCCGGAGGAGCAAAGTTCTACTCATGGGAGAAGTCCCAGCTACAGTCCACCTCTTCTGTGAACCTCTCAGGCAAACTTGGGGTACCTTCCCCAGACCCAAAGCTCAAAGCTCTGCAGGCATCAAGTACAGTGCCTATGACAGACCCATTTGTATGGTGCTGACTTGCCAGTCACATGAACTTCTTCGAGGGCAGAGCCAGGTGTGCTCATCTTTGGAGTGCAGTTGTCCAGCAGAACCCAGCACAGAGAGTCAGCCCACCCTTGTTTCTAATGAGGCTTGGTAGCAGACAGTGGGTAGGCCTTGCCTACTTGAGTTCTACAGGCAAGGAATCCAGAGCTGGGGATTCCCAACGGTCTGTTTGCCAAGGCTCAGAGCTGAAGGCTGGACTCCTGGTAGAGCTGCCAGCCCATGCAGCTGCAGGCAGTACCACCCCATGCATGGCAAGAGGCCACATTGGTGAGCCCTGACTCACTACAGTGTGTAAGTACAGCCAGACACCCACAGGGTGCCAGTGATGCTGGGCTCATCTCTGACCCCAGCATCCTAGACATTCGGGGCAGCTCACCTAACTCCACTTGCCCCTCCACCCCACTTAGGCTCCAGTGCTCTTCACTCCCACTTAAGGCTAAGGGGGAGGGGCCGTTCCTCTCCAAACCAGGCAGCTTAACATCCAAAGAAATGCCATATCACTGAGGCAGGGGCCACCAGAATGACTGAAGAGGTAGGATTCTAAGCCCCATGCCCAAGGCCTGCTGTCTCAACCCTTGAGGAGTTGTAGCCACAGAAGGAAAGCTGAAAGAGGGAAGGCACAGAAACAATAAGGTATGACTCCAAAGGAAGGGTAGAATCTGAGCAGCCTGGCCTTACAGCCCTGGTCTCAAATGGGGATGAAAGAGGGAGGCACAGCAAGAAGAGGCAGGGGACCAAAGCCCCGGCACAAACTAGGGACACGCAGTAGTATGGCCCCATGCAGTCAGAAGTCCATGGGTAGCCATGAGCTGAGAACCAGACCTGGACAAGGAGAAAGGATGCCTGGAGCAGGAGTCCAGGTTAAATCTGGAAGGAGCTTCAAGCTCAGAGAGGAGGTGGTGTGTAGGATCAGCTCACATATTTTCCCACCCCTTCTCTGGAAGCTACAACACCCCTGCCCCATGTCCATCCATGGGGCAGAACCCCAGCCAGGGCACGGGAGGCTCCTTACCATGTGGGGGTTGTCGTAGTAGATGGCGATGGAGCGGAGCTTGGGGGAGACACTGCAGCTCTCGGTGAAAAGCCGCCCAGTCTCGCTGTAGGGCCCCATGTGGAACTTGTAGGCCACAGTGACATTGCGGATGGGAGGTGAGCCGGCACTCACCGCCACCCTGGCCAGCAGCCCTGAGTACCCGGCAAAGGCCAGCAGTGTCAGCAGCAGCAGCAGAGTCAGGCCCCCAATCAGGCCCAGGAGGAGCAGATCAGACATGGCTCTGTGCCCCCGACACTGTGCCCCAAGACAGCTGCAAAGGAGACAGGAGGGAGAGAAGGCTGGTAGCCTGCTCTGACCAATGTGCCCACTTGCCCGCCAGCCACTTCTGGCCCAATCTCAGCTGTGTGTTGGGTGCTCTGACCCGGGGGGGGGGAGGGGCCAGGGTGTTTACACACCGAGTGACCTAGAAGAGAGCTACAAAGGATGACTGTAGCCACAAGCCTCTTTATTTCTTAATCACAATTGTTGAGGCTCTCAGAACAGCTCTGTCAGCTGGCAGCCTTGGTCACACCTGGGGAAACTGAGTCATAGAGAAGCACAGGAGTGAGTCAGCCAGGGACATACTCCCAGCCCTGACCAACCTCCCCCAAGATGGGCAAGACATCAGCCAGCCTGCCTTTTCCCTACATTACCTCTTCCTTCCCACACACTGCCACACTGCCTTCTTGGCCTCCCCAAGCCTCAGGGACCACTGCCCTGGGCGAGTGCCAGGGTACGATCACTTATTAACGAATAGGGAATACATGAGGAAAAAAAACCCCAGGGGGAAAATGTGCCACAGGAAGAGATTCTCACAGGAAACTTTCCTTTGCTAAGCACATCTGGCCCTCGGAATCTTGCTATCCAGCAACCTCACCCAACTAGAACCAAGGAAAGATCAGATCAAATCAGCCTGAGCAGCCAGAACAAAGTCCAGCACTGCGCTTCCCAGACTTGAACCATTGGTGCTAACAAGCTACATCCCATTTTGCCAGCCCATAGGTTAGAAACTGAGGAGCCAGAAAAGTTTGCTAGAAATGGAAACACATCAAGAAAAACAATTACTCCCTGGCCCAAGGAAGGGGGTGCTGGCCTGGGGAGAGTCACAGCTGGGTCCACTTGCTGCGCTGTTCCTTCTCTCCACCAGCATCTCCAGGTGTTCAGAATTATTCTTTGTGGTTTTGATCCTGCCACCCCCCTCCTCTACTAGGTAGTTCACAGAAAGGCATCCTGGGGTGGCATGAGGGCGTCTTTTTTCTTCCTTTTTGTGTTCATGTCATTTATCTGACAATTGTCCCTCCTCCCCACTGGCCTTTCCTCATTCCTCCTTTCTGTATGGTACAAGCAATAAAGACACTCATTTCAAGGAAGAAAAAAAAAAAAAAAAAAAGGCAGAGAAGCTATCTAAGAGAGGCCCAGGAACACAACAGAGCTGGTGTATGAGCCACTCAAGGCAGACTGTTCAGCCCTCCATGAAGCATGGGGCCACAAGCCTAACCCTCTTATACAGAGGGCTTGACCTGAGTCACCCGGGGGTGGGGTGGGGAGTGGGGGGAATCAGCACAGAGAAGACTGTTTAAAGAGGAAGGGAAACATGTGACCCATTGGAGGAACAGTCTAACCCCAAGTATTTAACATGTAGGGGCACCTGGGTGGCTCAGTGGTTAAAGCCTCTGCTTTCGGCTCAGGTCATGATCCCAGAGTCCTAGGATCGAGCCCCGCATCTGCCTCTCTGCTCAGCAGGAAGCCTGCTCCCCTCTCTCTCTCTGCCTACTTGTCATCTCTGTCAAATAAATAAATAATTTTAAAATTAACATGTAAAATTTAAAAGATTTGAGAACTGAAGGTCAACATTTCAGCCCTATGGAAAACTTAGCTCTATGGAATAATTTGTTCCCTATGGGTTTTGGGTATCAAAATTTTTACTGAAAAATTGTCTTTGGAGTCAATGTACACATAGTGTTAGCCTCACAAAGAGGCAAACTAAACTCCTACATCTCTGATATCATAAAATTGAGATATATCACACTAGTCTTCTTACCCAACTGCCTCACAGCTCTGCTTTTTTTTTTTTTTTTTTTGATGCATTTGCTGTCCTACTCATCTTGCCTCCAGTTAGTTTCATTCCTGTTTTCTTTGGTGACGATGATGATAAATCTTTTACCGAGTACTTACTATAGGCCAGGCACTATCTAAATGTTGAAACACAGCTACTTTATTAATTCTCAAGACAAGGTAGGTATGAATCAGGAGGTTAAGAGACTTGCTCAAGATGACACAGGTACTAAATAGAGCCCTAGACCAAAATGCAGGCAATAGGAACCCAAGTAGTCTGACTCCAGGCCCCATTTCTATCTCCTCCTTCCTGGTGACAAGGTTTCGAGAAAAGTTCAAGCATCTAATCCATGCTGGGACATCTCTGAACCCAAGGCTCTCAGCTGGAAGCTCTCACTCAGCAGGTAGGTCTCCCCATTGCCTCAAGAGTGACCATCTCTCACTTTGACCTACCCTCTCAGGTAGGTCACTCCCCATTCTCCTCAAGGCAACTTAGTTCCCACCTCCCTCTTCCTCTCACCTCCTACACTACCCAGAAGAGAGGGAAAATGCACCCCAGAGGTTAGGTCTGCACAGGAGGGAGGCGGGGCAAAGTGAATTTCCCCATACTCAAGAAAAAAGGGCAGAAGGGCTGGGGAAGCTCACCTGAAAAGACAGGCTCACTTTTAGCAACTCATGGCATCCAGCGCCGCAGGGACCAAGTGCTCCAAGCGCTCCTGTGCTGGGGGCAGAGAGAAAATCACCACTGAGCCGGGCACCCTGCCTTGACTGTTCCCTTTTCGGGGAAAGCCCACTAGAGTCTCTACAATAACTCTCTTCACAAGGTTGCTCTTCTCCCTCGTCCTCACATCCCTTACGGAAATCAGAAGCCAAACCCGGCCTCATGACGTGAACTCTTACTGGGGCCAGGCTCATGCTCCTGTTCTAGGAGAGCCCTCTTCCTGGAGGGTTCCAGCCACCGAGCCTGGCTCTGAAACAGCCCCTGCCGCTGACATCGGGGAGGCTGTCCCCTTCTGGCCTCTGTTTCTCCTCGGGTCAGGGGAGCGGTCCTCTGGCCGGGTTCCGGCGAGGGGTTGGGTCCTCTGTCCCGCGCCGACTTCCTGGAGTTGCTCACTTGCGCCGCGGAAGCGGGCCGGGCCCTTAAACTTCGGTGCCAGAGGGGAGCGAAAGACCCGGGTTCCGAGGGGCCTGCGCGGGAACGAGGTGCGCCGCCTCCCACTCTGGGCTTCCAGCCCTGCTTACCCGCACCTCGGTTATTTACCCAGCCCCTTTCTTTCCAGTCACAACCTCACCGGGCATCATACACCTCCGTAACTTATGAGACGCTAAAGTTTGTAGCCACCGCTGCGAGGGCGGCCTCCAGGGGCAGGGGCGGAATTAAAGTGCGGTTCTTGCCTCAGTTCCCCACCCCCACACCCCCGCTCGGGCTTCACTGCCACGGGACGTGCCCTGCACCGGAGGCCGAAGCAGGGGAGACCCGGGGTGGCAGACTTGTCTAAGGTCGCGTTCGGGCCCCTGGACCGGTCGGGGCCAGCTGCGGGCGAGACAAGATGCAAAGAGCGGCCTGGGCCGCAGGGGTCATGGAGGGGACGCGGGGGCCCTGAGGTCGCGCCCAGGCAGACGGAGGTTCCAGGCCCTCACCGAGCGTGGGGCCGCCCCGTCGGGACGCCTCTCCTCCGGCCGGGCCCTCACCTCAGCGGCCGCCCGCCGCGGACGCCGATCCGCGAAGGCGGCTCCAGGCTAGGTCGCGGAGCCTGCGCGCGCCCGCCGCGCACGTTCGCTCCGCCCCCTCTCGCGGCGGGACGTGGCCGTGGCCGTGGCCGTGGGCGCGTGCGCGCGGGACCCGGAGGGCGGAGGACTGCCCCGCCCGGTCTCCATGGCAACGAGCGGCGCCCAAGTGGCTCCCCGCCACACGCACACCCCCAGCCGTCAGGGGCGGAGCCCACTGAGCACCTTCCTGCCTGTCGCAAACTTACCCGGTCCCAGCAGTGGGAGGCGGAGGCAAGTCAACCTGGTCGCCCACAGCGGAGAGCCAGGCTGGGGTCCAAGGAAGCCCTCGCCAGAGTGGAGCGTTTGAAGAGGCTCGGGAAGTTCAGCACAGCAGTATCAGCCCCTGGCATGCATCTGTACCACCCTTCGTCCTGCCACTTTCTCTCACTGAAGCTTCCCGAAGAGACCTGGGAACTCAGCAAGGCAGGGCCACTTGTCCCCCTTTTACAACTGAGGAAACCGACGCCCAACTTGGACTCAGGGAAGAAGCGAATGGATGGATCCAACCTTTGGAACAGCGCAAATGCCGGTCACGTCTCCAACACTCCACCCCACTCCCAACCAGAGCACAGAAGTGGTCATTCATCCACCCAACATTTACTTATCCCTGCAAGGATAGTTCTAGAGGCTGGGGATACTGAGTAAACAAAACCAAGGCCTCGCCCTCTTGGAGCTCACCAAGAACCGGCCCCCTCCAGGCTCTTGGGTGAGGCTGGTCTGCCCATCTAGCTTAAGGTATATTAGGTAACTTTCCGGTGAAGTGTAAGCCCCTTGAATATAGGTTGAATCTTCAGCTCATATTTCTGAGGACCTACAAAGTAGTCTTCTAGAGCCCTAAGGATCTAACTTTGCCCTCCTGAGAGGCCCCGGGGACAGCTGTGCTCCTGAGCTTGGCGGCAAGACCAGCTAGGCCAAGAGCTACCTTGGTGCTCCTGACACAGAGGACATGTATTTAGAAGGGGAATCGTCTTAGTGTGGACTCCACTACTGCATTAGCAAAGTGCAGACGGGGCACACAGAGGCCCTCGTAATCCTGGCTTCCTTTCCCACTACTTCACACAGTTCCTTCCACAGGCAGGAAATGATGACCCTCATCCATGGGGCCAAGCCTGTCCTCAGCTCGCTGGGCAAACACTGGCAGAAGGAGCAGCTGGCCCCTCACAGGCACTCAGGGCTGGGTTGGCAGGGTTGTGGCAGTTCTTCTGCTTATGAACATCAAATACATGATCAGACCCAGGTGCTCCAGGCAAGTGGGCTATATATATACTTGGAAACATTTCCTGTGCGATAAGGGCCAGTTCGTGGTTCAGAGACAAGACAGCTTCTGCCCACAGTGTTTGGCTGGTCATTTTTCCTGTTTCTCAGAATCTGAGGAGTTTCTCCCAGGAAACCAGGTATAGAACTGCCCTTTCCTCCTCATGTCCTCTCTGCTCACTTCCTACAGGCTGGCTGGGAATTCCAGAGGCCTGCATCAGAATTCAGGGGGTGCCTTAGTAGCTTCACCACCTCCGCTGTGAATGGAGAGTCTGCCTATGACTGAGGCTGCTGGCCATAAGCCCCCCTCCCCAACCCTTGGCAGGGATCGCTGCAAGACCTCTGCTAGCCACCAGGAGGCAGCAGCCAAGACAAGCTGCCAAAAGAGGCCTTCCTCATCCCTCTTGAATTTAGTGTAAGACCTATTCACCTAGCCATCTGCCCTACACGCAGTGCACTCCCAGCCCCCAATAGCATATATTCTGAGCCCAGACTTGGCCTTAGTCTCCTTTTTTCTGTCCAAGAAATCCCTCTTTAATTCTCGCTCAGTAAACTTCCAGAGACTTTCCCTAGGGCTCCTTGCCTTACAGGGACCAAACTTGGAAAGACAAAGGGTAGACTACCCCCACCTTCCCTTCCTCCTCCTATTCCAAAGCCTGGATAGTTCTCTGTGAGGCTGTGGTTAGACCCACTAACTCACATGACAAAGGGAGGAGGACTATGCATTGTAAGATGGTCTGCAGATCCTGCTACCAGCCATCTCCCACCTGCTGAAAGGCACTGATGCTGCACCCAATCCCCAGTCTGGTTAGGGATGCCCCAGCAGAACTTGCCATGATTGTGGATCATCTAGCCTCAGGCCACTCTGAATCTGTTTCACTGTTTCCTCTAGAGCCTGGAAATGTGTTCTTCTTCAGGTAAGCAAAGGCAGAAAAAGCCTAGCGAACCCCACTGTAACTAAGCCTGTCAGCAGTTTGCCCTCTATTCCTCCCTTCCTAACCCCACCCTACCCACCCTGTGTCATCTCAATGCCCACTATACTCTAAGTTATATCCTTTTCACCACCCAGCTGAACAGTTGTTCAGACAATTCCTTGATCAAAAAACACTGCCTTCTTGAGTTTAAATTTTATTTTACAAAAAGAGAAATAAAGAAAACTGATAGGCAGTTATACTGACTTACAATTGTTCTGTTTGCTTTTTTAAAAAAGTGACATGAAACACAAGTAAAAATAAATACGTCATAGAAACAGCCAGTTGCCCAGTCTCTGGGGCAGGAGCACCTGCCCTGCTGAGAGAGGAGGGAAGCCCATGATCACACCAGCAGCTGGAGCACCCAGCCACAGATGCTCCTCAAAGCCAGGCGCAGCAGGTCCCGGGCCTCAGGGGGCGTCCTGAGGAAAGAAGACGGAAAACCAAAGCCAGGTGCCAGGTCCCTGGGGCCATTTCATATCCCCCCCACTCCTCCCGGCAGCCGTGTGGCCTTTAGTGGTTATCCATTGCGACCCCCTCAACCCACCTGGACCCTCTTCCCCTGACCCTTCTGGAGAGGGTACAGGAAAAAAAACCAGTCTTGGGCAGGCTGAGGGGGATTTTTCCTGTGAGTCCCCAGCCCACCCTGAGTAACACAACCAGATAACAGTTTACACCCGTGTGCATGAGTGCACACTCTATCTTGCATGTGCACACGCACACACGCACACATGCACACACACACACAAGTGCACACACACCTGGGCTGAGTGCTCTTCCAGAGGAGGGTCCTGGGTCAGGTCACAGTATGAGGTCCCCTCTTCTGAATATCATCCCAGTAGTGGTAACAGAGTACCCAAATCTCCTCCAGCCCTCTGCACTAGACTCTGCAGCCTACCTGGCTACCTCTTCCCAATGCAATAGATGACTATATCCAACCAACCTGTGAGAGGAAAGGGGCAGACTCAGGTCCCTGAAAAATGAAGAAGTTGGACACGGCCTGCTTGGGAAGTTCATCGTTAAGACTTGGGTATTCATAAAAGGCCTAGGGCCAAGCTAGTGGCACAGAAGAGACATGAAGGGGTCACATCGGAACACACAGGGCAGAAGAGTCAATAGAAGGGGACAGAGTCTGCAGGTGACTGACAGCACAGCATTCTCAGGCCTCGAGGTGCAGATTTCCTGGGTAGAAGTCAGAGGAGGGCCAGAAAGTCTGCTGGGGGGGTCCATTGAGGGGAAGAGCTCTTCTTTCAGAGGCGGCTTACTGTGGGGAAAATGACTTAGCTGGGTACACAGGCCATGGCTCAGAAGGGAGACCAGTTTTCTGAGGAATCACAGGAAACTGGGAAGTGGGAGGAAGGGGGTCATGGCCAGGAACACTAGGAATAAGGAATGTAAACCTCCCCCCCCGCCCCCGCCAGACATTCCCCATGGGATGAGGACTCAGTTCCAAAGCAATGCCAGGATTGAACCCACTGAGACAGAGGGCCTTGCTCTGCTGACAGCTTTGGGAGTGACAGTCTCACCCAGACTGCTAAAGTATGGTTGAGTGTTTCAACCTATCAGCAAAACTTTACCCCAGCAATTTGCTTCACACACTGGAGACGGGAATTTCATATTTAGTTGTGAATCACAAGTATACAGAGAGATACCACACACTAATTCCTAGGGAAGAAAGTTCCAAGGACCAGAAAAAGATGCTCAAGAAGCACAACCTGAAGGGGGTGAGGACTTGGTAGATATCTAATGATCTGATCCAACATGGTTCACTTACTTTCTTACTGAAATGGCTACTTTGTCTCTGGCTCAATTTTTACCCACAACAATATTAAGAAAAGGAAACTGAGTATCATTACAAATGGTAATCCTGAATCATTATGCAGTACTATATTCCCTAGCATGAGAATTTAGGCTAAACCAGATGGATGGGGCTTGAGAGCCCCTTGAAAACATCCTATGGAAGACAATGGTGAGGGAAAATGCTGAGGGGCCTAATCTACTACCGACCCCTCCTCTTACCCCTCCCCCCCACATCACCACCCTTCCCTCACTCAGGCCTGGATGGTAGGTGGAAGCCACCATCAAGTGTTTCTGCTCAAAGAGGCTGTAAAACATGGTTCTTAGGCTCTGAGACATTTCCTGCTTCCCTCACACACGTATTTAGTGTGCATGCACACTTGCCTACCATCATACATAGAGAGATAGCAGAAAAGTAGAAGTGTTTTTCAGATTAAAAAACAAAAACCTAAAGGATGAAACTGGTAGCATTTCAATTTCCCATGATCCCACCCCATACCCCCTATACAATATAAGCTGCACATATTAAAGAAAGCCTTCTCTAGCCAGCTCAGCCTCCCAAAACTATTGCCTCTTCTGACCTGAAGCAAGACCCAACCCCTGGAATCAGTGAGTAGAGAACACGTATATACTGCCTCTCAGAATACCCATTCACTTCCTGGTACTTTCAAAGGCCCATCCTTCCAATAATTGGTTTCAATCCCTTGCTGACAGTTTCCAGATTCTCAGCGCCTACTGCTAGG